CACTCGGGGGCTAAAGTCAGAGCTGAGTTTTCAGAGGCAGGAAGTGCAGCTCAGGGAAAGGGATTCTGCTGAGTGAGGAGAGGCCAGGGCAGGACCAGCCGGGAGACTCTCCCAGGGTTATCAGAGGAGCCCTTCTCAAAGTGTGGTCTGGGGAACACCTGACATCACTGAGGCCCTTTCACAGAGTCCATGAGGTTAAATCTCTTTTCCTAACATTACTTAGACATTATTTGCCTTTTCGCCATGTTGACGTTCACACTGAGGTAAAACGTAGCAAGAACGGAGGTGATGGGTGCAAACTGCAATAGTTGTCATTCTTCACCACTACTTACTCCCATAAAAAACCAGAAACACTCTTTCCGCCATCTTTCCGTACCGCCATATGGTCACATGAATATCTTGGCGGATGCTCTCAAGAGCAGTAACAATGCCTGAGAGAGAAGCGAAAGGCAGGTCGTATTAGCCATGCTCCAAAGTCATCGTCCCGTTTCTAACTGTGAGGACGAATCTCGGTTACATTGTTGAATTTGAAATCACTGCTGATCACAGAGCTGGGAGCATTGTTGTGAATCTAAGGTCAGGTTAAGCACGCGTGGAGTGAGCAACCCCGGATTTGATGTACAACTCAAAGATCTAGAAAAATAGCAGAAGAATCTGCTCCCATCCCTCCAGTTTGGTTTCATTGTCCTGACAACCTCAGCTGGCCTCATGGACCATGAAGGAAGACGAAAACACACAGGAGGGAAAATCCTGGGATTCTTTTTCTAGGGATGTAATACCTACGTGCAAATAAAATGCCTCAAAAACAAAACCAGAACAAAAGAAAACTAGTGTCACTTTCAAATGTCCTGGTTAAAGCATTCACAATTATTATCTTTATCAATCATTCTCAAATCCACATTGTAAACAGGTCATATATGATGATGTGGGATATACAGCACTTCTGCTACATCCATAAGCCCCAAGGAAAATAATCTGTATGAAATTAACTGGCCTCTTTATTCTTTTTTTTTTTTTTTTACAAAATGTCATTTTGACCTGAAGACATGAATGACACAGAAACTTGGAATATTTAGACTAAGAGATTTGGCAGGCAGTTTCTGGAAAATGAACAAGAACCTACCCTTTCATGAACATCAACTCACATATGACAGCTGAGAGTACGTGTTTCCTTGATCACATGTAAGCTCTCAAGAGAAAATCAGACTTTTGGAAAACTTGTGATCCACCAATAAACTTGACAGTTTCTCACTCTTAACAAGCTTTTCTGTTGGGATCTATGGTAATATTTAAAAAAATCTGACTTTTTGATAATTCAATTCCAGACTCATCAACACTGGAAGCCCTATATAACGTAGTAAAACAACACACTACTTTAAAAAAAGTCCTGCATTAGTACAAGACCCATTCAGTGTGCAAGTTGGGTCTGTGGATTTTAATGTAACAGAGAAGGACATAGTCAATGATATGGGTTCAGGTTCCACTTTGCAAATAACCTTAGAGAAAGTACAACTTGTGTATTTTTAATATAGAACCTAAAATGAATATCCATAATTATCTGAGAAGATTATGAAACATTTTATTCTCCTATATTTGTGCAAGGTTGTTAATTTTTTTGTACACTTCAACCAAAACAACACAATAAATGCAGAAAAAACTATGAACAACCAGGGGTTTTTCTAAGGAGACAGACAAGAAAGAGACCTTCAAAAATGTAGAATGCAACAACATCATTCTTCTCACTTAGCTGTTTATTTGAGGAAATAGTTATTTTACATAAAAATAACATTTCTGTTTTCATGCCATGGGTTATTAATATGATTCTAAATGAATTAATGAATTTTTAAACCTGTTTTATTCCTACTCTGGTAAATACCGATAGATATAAACCTACAGACCCAAAATATCCTTGGGATCCTCAGTAATCTGTGCGACTGTATAGACATCCTGAAAACACGATGTTTGAGAATCACTGACTCACACAGCTCCTGGGCCACGACTCGGGGAGACTGACAAAGAGCGCGTCGTGCAGTAGGTGAGGGGTCGGGGCAAAGTCCCAGGTCCCTGGGCCTGCCTCTCAGGGTCTCAGGCCCCAGGACGGTGTCAGGTGGGGAAACCCAGGGCCGGGGAGTCCCCATCTCCCTGGTTTCACTTTCCTGTCTCACAACCTGTGTCAGGTCCTCCAGCCTGGAGACTCGTGACGCGGCCCCATTTTGGATTCCCATTGGGTGTGGGGTTTCTGGAGAAGCCAAGCAGCGCCACCGCTCTTCCTGGTTCTAAAGTCTCCCCAACGGCCGGCGGGCCCCGCGACCGCAACAGTCTGCCCAGACCGCGAAGATGCAGGTCGTGATGCCCCGAACCCTCGTCCTGCTGCTGTCGGGGGTCCTGGCCGTGACCGAGACCTGGGCGGGTGAGTGCGGCGGCGGGAGGAAAGGGCCTCTGGGGGCAGGAGCGAGGGGACCGCGGGGCAGGGACGCGGCAGCCCCGGGGAAGGCGCCTCTCCGCCGCCGCCGCCGCCGCCCCAGCCCCCTCCCCGCCTCCGCCCTGCTCCCCGCCCTCGGTGCCCCTCCCCCTGCTGCCCTGGGCCGTGGCCCCGCACCGGGAAGAGGGTCGGGCGGGGTCTCAGCCCCTCCGCGCCCGCAGGCTCCCACTCCTTGAGGTATTTGTCCATCGCCGTGTCCCGGCCCGGCCGCGGGGAGCCCCGCTTCATCATCGTCGGCTACGTGGACGATACGCAGTTCGTGCGGTTCGACAGCGACTCTGTCAGTCCGAGGATGGAGCCGCGGGCGCCGTGGATGGAGCGGGAGGGGCCGGAGTACTGGGACCTGGAGACGCAGATCGCCAAGAACAACGCACAGAGTTTCCGAGGGAGTCTGAACATCCTGCGCGGCTACTACAACCAGAGCGAGGCCGGTGAGCGACGCGGGC